CCCAAATTTCCCGGCAACCCATACCACAGTCGCGACGGTATCCAGATAGTGTAGATAGTGTACATTATATTATAAAACTTGAGTAAAAAAAAAAATTAAACTAAAAACTAAAACTGGTACTTATAGTCCAAATTTCTTTAGTTTAATGTGTTATGTATACATAAGAGTTCTAACTTAAAACAAATTTTCAACAAAAAGGTCCTAAAATACTTCAACATTGTCAATGATGATATTTAACAATCTATTGGTATAATAGAACCCAGTGACTCAGATTGACAGATTTTTTTTTTTTAGGAATTTGTTATCATTATTTACAAATGTTGAGGACATCCATAATAATCATAAATTGACTTCCGAAACAGAGGCATCATTATATTCTGAAACGTATTATCGATTATAAAGTCACAGCTAAACCAATTTAAATTCTTTCACAAAAAGTTCAAATATATTACCAAATGTGGTAAACAGACAACAGTGAACAAAAAAATGTTTTTTTTTTGGTTTCTATAAATATTATAAGTGTGAAGGAGATCTTTTTTTTTCTTTATTACGATTTTCTGTTCGTAGTACAGAACCAAAGTCACACAGTAATTTCACACTTTATAAATTATGTGTTAAATTTAAATATTAAATATATGTAACGGGGTATCAGAATTGAAGATGTTATAATTATTTTATATAGTTTATTGATTATTCGTCAGAAATGGTGTAATTCTCCTGATGATAGAGGCCTCTTTAATATTTAAATGTGTACAAATAAGTAGGAATGGGCATGTGTATTGATAAAATAATAAAAAAACACGTTTTTGTATTAAACGCAAAAAAATTTAGTTGTCTGCAGTAGACATAACACATGTATTCGGTGTAAGAACAGCAAGTGTTTTTACCCCGTTGTCGGTAAATATCAATACTAAAAAATGGAGAATGCATAATGGATGGACCAGATTTTTACTTATGCATAATGGAAAATTCATCATACAAATATTTTGTTGAAATATAATTTTACGGCTAACAATCTAAAACATAGATTTAAACCCTAATTTATTCATAAATCTGTTTTTACACAACATTTTTTGAATAATGACACATTCCAATGTCAATTTTATTTTCATGCCAACATAATATATAGGGTGTTTTGGTCCATTGTAAATTATGTATACATTTTAAGGCGATTAAACTAGAAAGATTTTAACACGCGTACTTAAGGTCCATACATAGTATACAGGGTTACTAGCGGAATGTATGTATTTAGATGTTGCACATTTTGTATGTTTAAAATATCAGTTCTTTAAATTCGTTAAAAAAAAAAAAAAAAATAGTGTTATAAAAATGTAGAAATAAAAATAAAAAGATAATAGAAAATGTATGCATGAACTGACTTGTTTTGACAGAACAATGAAAGCCATATAAATGATTATTGTTATTTTTATATTTTGTACTTACATCAATAGACTTTTAAATAGGTTTAACATGTTTCTTTCAGTTCTTAATAATATTGTAAAAATGATTTTTTTTCCCTCATGTTGATTCATAGGATAAACCCAATACTTAGTTACCTATTGAAACAAAGAGTAAATATAGAATCGGTTTAATTGGTGTTCGTATTCAGTTCAATTGAAGTAAATTAAATTAGGTTGAATGTAAGTTTTGTATTGTAAGTCGTAAAATAATATTTCAATAAAATATTTGTATGATTTTGCCATTATGCATAAATAAAAAACTGGTAAAAATGTGTTGTGTTTATAGCAAAGATATAACATCTACTTGAACCCTAAACCATAAAAAATATACACTTCTTGCGTACACGTGTTACGACAACATCGTAGTAACACATGTGTTAATAAATATGTTAATAAATATAATATATAATAAAAATAAATTTTTAATGAAAATCGGCTTATACATAACACAGTAAGAGTTAAAGAAATGGAATCTATTTTCAGAATTGAAATTGGACCATCCTATGTAGTCGACAATTTTGTCTGACTTTTGATTTAAAATGAAACCACATTTTTATTACTCATAGAATAAAATTATTTTAACTAAAAATAATACCTTGAATCCTACACAAATTGACCGGAAAATTAATTCACATGGTTGAAATTTTATGAAATCTTTTTTCTTATTAAATATTGCTTGTACAAAACTCCTGAAAAACAAACTACATGCAACAATCGCCTTAGACACCATAATTTGATGTTAAGGTTGTTTAGCAATTAGTTAAAAAAAAACAAAAACGTCACATTTAGTTTTTGGGGCATTTTATCAAATTAAATTTCAAAAAATATCAAATTCAATATTTTTTATACACCATAATGAGAAATGAGGCAATCTTTAATTTTCACAATGTGTTGTAAAGCCCAAAGGTATTTTGATGATGTGAGGAACAATTTTCAAAACATTCTAATAGATAAAACGTGGTAGCACCCCTGTTTAATACTGATTATAGGATCTTGGTCCTAAAATTATTAAACAATACAAATGCAGCTCGGTACATTCTTTTCATAAAATAGACTACTGGTTTAATAGTACTAGTTTTTGCCTAATTACTGTCAATAGAGTAAAGTCTTGTGTTTTTTTCTTTTGTCCTAAGCGCTGCGTCTAATATGCCTATTGGCTTATTTAACCTTGAAATAGTATAGTTTCAATACAAGCGTTTGCCAGAGTCTCATTCGACAAACAATTCATTTTGTATTAGTTGTCTTATCATTTCTGAATTTACTAAAATAAAATCATGTACACGACTTTGTTTATTGTACTATTATTATTGGCAGTGATGCAATTAGGGAGCGGGGGCTCCTTAGTGATCTGAAGCCTCTCACCCCCATTTGATTGTGTATCTAACTCGGCCTTGTTATTAAAAGCAGCAACTAACAACTAGTTGGATTAGAACCTTTAAAATCTAGATTTACAAAAATAAAACCGATAGATATTACTATCTAATGCCATAGTTTTATAAGTTTTGTTCTATTCTCATTTTAAAACAATGTACCTTCAGTTTCCATTAGTTTGAACTTACGACGTGTGCTTGTGCAATTTATCAATAATTACTGATATTTTTTTCGACAATATTATATATCCAATGACTGCTGCATTTTTTTGTGTAAAATAAAGATTTTTTTTTAAACATTTTTTCTAATAATTCTTTCAAAAAGATGAGATAATCAAAATAGTTGTTATGTGCAAATAATAATAAAATAATTTGTCCGTTTTTTAGTCGCAATTTTTCAATAAAACATATAACAATAAGCCAACATTTGTAAACTCGTATATTTAACACAACAAAGATTGATAATTAATTTTTCATTTAACTGTAATACCGTCTACTTCGAACAGTGCGTCAATATAATAGCTGTTAATTGATATTTTAAACAATTTTTCTTCGTGTATCTAATCAAAAAAAATGTCTGTTCTAAACATAAATTGTACTTCCAACGTTGTGAACAAGTAACGCTACCGTGTCCGAGTTTTGGCATATACCGTTAAGTATGCAAAACTATAATCTGCAGACTCTGTATGCGCCTTGGGAAATATTAATGCGTGTTGTTTGAATTAAGGGCAACGACTCTGTAAACTCTCGACGCAACCGACGGTTGTTTAGAATCTGACATTTTTTCAACCCTATACGAAATTTTGTAATTTTAACGTGGTATGTTTTTTTTTTTTTTAAGTGTAACAGTAATGCATTACGCTAGTAAGAGTTTGTAAATAGATTTGGTCGAATCCAGTGTCATCTGACATTTATAGATACCGTTTTCAAATTATTGGTTGTATAGATTCCATTTTTGTAATCTTCCATACATAGCCGTATTAAATGATTGTCTTCTTTGTCCTGACCGTTGCAGACCACATTGTTTTGCGGATCCAATAGCCTGTCGAAAGAAGCCATCGACGTGTAACTGTACACGGAACTTCTTCTATTTTCACCTTTGCCACATTGTCTTCTACAATGGAAAATTATTATTTTTCATACTATACTATACGATGTATAATAGGTCATACTACTATATACCTATTGTATAATTTTATACAGACAAATTAGTACTCAACATAATTGAAATGGTGTAAATACATTTAGATTGAATATATCGTGTGCCAATGACTTGATAATATAGTACTCACTACTAGTAAAAGTAAAGCATGTTTAATGCCATAATAACATTTCTTGTACTATATTTTTATTTTATTTATATATAACTAGATAATATGACATGACAAATCGGTCTCCCTCTAATTGCAATAGCTTTTATAAAATATTGAATATAAACTATATATACTATTAGGTACTATGTCATATGGAACACAAACGTCAAACATTTGTTAAAATTAAATCTAGCTAAAGTACTCATCATATTGTTGTCCAAGCCGTAACAACTAATAAGTAAACATAATACAAAGAATGAAAAAACTTGCTCAGAAAAGTATCGGGATCTATCTGCAATGTTTTTGCAACGATAGAATCTTGAAAAAAATCCTAAAACACAACAAAAATGTGTGATTTTAATAATAATAGACAATTAACTGATATGTTAAAACAGAATAAGAATTTAAATTTGAATGTTTGTTTGGTTCATCCTGAAAAGTTGTAAAAAACGAGATGCGACCCTTTTCGTTGGGACAGACGATATATATATTTATTTTTTATTTCTACATTATCCGTAAGTCGTGACACCATAACTTCAATACAATGTAATTATTGATATATGTTTGTTAAACCATCGGAGAAAAACATATAGCATAATAAGAAAATTATTATATACATTTAGAATCTATTCCCAAATTATTTAAATTAATTAATTATTAATAAATTATTTCAAAATTATTTTACAATTATCTACTGAGATGCTTGAAACACTGACTCTCTGACGCTAACGCTCTCGGCCATTAAATTTGCAATCTGTATTTTCAGTTCAGTTTAAATATGTATATGTGCCAGTGTGTTATTGTAATATAAAAAATATGGAGAGTGATGCGAGCGACAGTGATTTGAAACAAATACAGGTCGACAAAACGTAAGTAACACAACAATATTTTTAGAGAAGTGTATAGGTAGGTACACCCAACCGTGCTTGTGCACGGCACACGGTTTGACAAGTTTGCGAAGGGGGGGTCACAGTAAAGGCGTGACGGATTTTCTTCAAATTGCGAATAAATGTTATTTTTGAGAAATAAAAACACCCTTATTTGAGCGTTTGTGCCAATGCGTCCTAATTCCAGAGATAATCAACTTTCAAATTTACATATCTTTTGGTATATCCTTAAATAGACCTATTTTACATTGCTATAATCGAAATGTGGTGCGGTCGAGAATGAACAGTTCCTTGGAGTAAGTAGTAGTACGGGTTCAATCCGGCGACTCCTCCATCTCCAAATACAGCATTTTTTTCGTTTTTTTCAACTGTTATGGTAATTTATATCGCCGAAGTCTAAAACGCTAAGATCATTTACCCGAAAGGGACTTCGTTCCAAACGCGTGTCTCGCGCGACACGAACCAGTTTTTTTTTATATAAAAGTGACGAGTATAGTACTTATGACATAGTTTTTTTACTTTCTTTTTTTCAATATCGTATGATTTAAACCAATGTTTTTTTTTGACGTTAAATAGTACCATGGAATAATTTGAATTTTTACAGAAATTTCGATACAAAACTAAACGAGTAAAATAAAATTTTGTTTTGCCTGTTTTGTTTGTGGTGGAATACACTTACTTCCGTTTTCGCTGGGTTGGGTTTTAGTGAGTTCTGTGTATAGAATCTGTCCAAGTTCTCCAGCGCATGTGTGAGTGTCTGTTCCACTTCACTGAAAGTTTTGCCCTGCGCAGTTATCGCTAAATCGTCGGCATACAGGAAACGGCGAGTAGTTTCCATAATGGGCTGGTCATTTGTATAGACACATTAAAGAGTATTGGTTCGACGACACTATCTCGCAGGAGGCCATTTTTTTAATTTATCCATCGGCCTTTTTCGGTCTTGTAGTCTAACACGGCATCTTCTATTGCGACCCGTTGACTCAATTACTCTCGTTAATAGACGAAATCTATTAGAAAAAAAACATTTTTGGATATTTAAAAAGCTCGGAATTTTACCAGACGATTTATAAGCTATCCGAATAGAATAAATAATTAAATTGGCTTTTAGAAATCATTGTTTATTATTAGGTATTGTTGTTATCTATTATTTATAACAGTATTCAGTTATTTTTTGTCAGCAAGTCTCAAGAACTTATCCGTTTGATTGACTTGAAGAATCCAACTGATTTTGCGAAAATATGGAAAAGATGGTGTTAAATTCAGCGCTAGTGGCCGGAGGGTTCGTGGCAGGAGCTGGAACTTACGGCCTGGTGCAATATGCGGTGGGTTGGTGGCGCAGCTCACGATTGACGGTACGTATGAATTAAAAAAATATTTCACTGTCATACTTAAGGAAACGGTCGCACACACAACTCCGCTTGACAATCTTTACGTGTTAAGGTCGGGTCCGAGCCGGGATCTGTCCGGGTGCAAGAAAACGATTATCCATTGAGTTTTTGCGCCACTGCGCCCAAATTACCTTGCTTTACGTAAACTGCGCCCCGTTTATAATTTGGTTTAAAAAAGGTTACATGTTACAAGCTGCGCCCAGCTTCTTATCGTCGGTATGAAATGCAAACAGCGCCCGAATCAATAAAATCGCAGAAATATTAATATTTGGCCTCGGATGAAGATAAACGGACGTCGCTTTCATTAACGCAATCGTGGATTAGACATATCCAACAAAATGGCTCGAGTATTGACTATAACTTATAAACAGTGATATTAAAAAGGGAGGGGGGGGGGGTTAGTTCAATGCTTAAGTAGAAATATTACTGAACCACCTTCGCCCCTGTATTTAGGTACGAATGTACGAATATATATATATATATATATATGAATATAATTTACGAGCGTTTTAGGTCGGGTTGAGAACTTTTAATCTGCAAGAGATAAGAGAGATAATTATACATAAGAACATATTATTATAGATTTATTTTTCGGATCTAATTACAAAAAATGTATCTACTATTTGGTATAATAAAATAATAAGTAGTACAAATATTAAGTTTAACATTTAGAGTTTATTACATTTTATTTTATTAGCAGAAATGCCGTGCAGAAATAATAAAAAAATCTAAACGTATTTTATTATACCTAACATTAATTGATGTTGTCGTACAAAATGGCGCGCGCCCGTCTATCACGTGCGTGCGCTCAAATGGCACCTTCTGATTGGCTGATTGTGTAAACGAAAAACAGCAGCCATTTTCTAACAAGGAGAATTACTTTGAAATGTACACATTTTTTCATATATCTTAAATCGACCTATTTTCTAGCCGCCAGCAAAATCTATATGTGGTGCGGTTGGGCGTGATCGGTCTCAGTAGTGAGGAGGTACTGGGTTCAAATCCGGTTTCACTCCCCAAGACTTTTTGCATTTTTTTACAACTTTTTTTCAACTCTTATGGTAATTTATATTGCAAGAAGTCTAAGCACTTATAAAATAATTATATTTTACTACTACAGAGTACATTTTTACCCTTAAAAGTTACCCTCGCGCCAATACGTTTAAAATACATTTTCATCATCAGACGCTGAACTCTAACAACGCGTTAGTGAGTCCGGGGAACGTTAAGTTGGTGTCGTTCTAGCAGGGTACAGTAAAATTATATTAAATTGGTTTGTTGATTTTTAGGTTAGTCGTTAGATTCGTGTCGGTTTCAAATGTTGTTGATTCATTGTTTGAGGATTGTCGTGCCGGCCACTAGCGTTTGTAATAATTGTTCCTTGCGGAGAAAAACAGGTATGCACAGTATTGAGTCGCTACACTGCTGTTCACCCCAAAATTGTAGTCCCTATAACTTACAGGCCTCAGAGTGGTCGCGTGGGTAGAACTAAGCTAATACTGTGCGTATCCTGAAAGGTATATATTATTATTTATTTTATACCTGTCTTCATTTAACAACTGGTGTAGAACTGGATCAAAATCTGCTAGTAATTTACTATCACTTTCTCAGTTAGTCTTAACAGTTTTAAATACTGTAACCATGGTTTAACTACAGAGCAATCACTAATATCAGTGTTATTAGGCTGCATATCGATTTTCAGAGAACTACTATAAATATCTACTATTATAAAATCGATAAGAACTGTTTGACAAATAGATAAATATTTAAAAAATTTATTTTTATAACTGCTTTTGTTCTTTAATCAGGACCTAGACTGAAGGTATCTAAGTTAGAAATTGTGCCCCAAAATTCATCTTATAGTGCCCTTTTAGCAGGGCGTCGCCCTGCCCGCCCCCCGGTAGTTTCGGCACTGGTAAACAATAAAAATTATTAATTGTACTTCTGCTTTTTTTTTACTTCAGCCTAACAAAAATTACATTCTTTGGTTCTTTTTTGTTTATTCAAGGCGTTTAAAATAGGCTACACGGAGCACATAAAATTGCCTATTTTACAGCCGTTAAGGCACCTGTGTTCAATACTTCCTGTTCTGTGTCGCTAAACTGTTTTATAACATCTCTATTAAGCATCGACAAGCATTAAACAACCTTGGTCAGGCAGTAGATAAATGGCATGCAATATTGATTGAGCTAGCGTTAAGCAAATTGGACAAGTTGACTCTACAACAATGGGAACGATCGTTAGGCACAACTGATGTAGTTCCATTTTCCCAGTTTGAAATTTTTCTCAACTCTCGTATTAGGTTACTTGACGCGTTTGAAAGTGGTCAGCGAGGACTTGTTGTGTTTAACAGAAAATCCGACGAGCACAAATCTACCGGCTCAAAGAATAAATTGTGTTTATTACTCAAAGTTCTCCCTCACAATGTCCATTATGTCGCGGTGATCACTTGTTTCATCGATGTTACAAGTTCCGGAGCATAAAGGTTTCTAAAAGATATGAAGTAGCAAAGGGATCGCGAGTCTGTTTTAATTGTTTGTCACCTAACCACAATGCAAAGGGTTGTTCGTCAAGCAACTGTCGCACTTGTTCAGCTCGCCATCATACTTTGCTGCATTATGATGCAATTAAGCGAACATCAAATGTTCAACCTAATAAGGAACCAACACAATCCCTAGTTAAAGACTCAACAGAAAACTATCAACCTTCTTCGTCCTTAGTATTATTATTAGTCGACATAAAAATTAGTTGTGTACAGAAATCAGTCATACATTATAAAAATAATGAGGGCAGTAATAGCACAGTGCTGGCGTTACATTGAACTAAAAATATCCTAAATTTCCAGGTTACAGTTTAGTAGCTTTATCTATCACTTCCCTACGTGAAATAAAATTTGTTGACAATTGTACGCCCTATAAGCTGTGGTAGTCTATTACAGTTGTGATAAAAAATAACTTAATATGCCAAATCTAGAGTAGAGAAATATGAATACATTGGGTTTTTTTTTACATATATTAAATATTGTATTAATTAGTTTTGTTTGCGTTTAGGGAGAGGAACATAATGTGGAACCACACCCAAATGAACCTATATTAACAACAGAACACAGAGTAGACGAAGACGAAGTCGAAGAGGTCCCACGTGGACCAAAGCCGGATTTGGTAAGTCTAAAATACTAGAAATTGACTATGGCCAAATTTTATTCCCCCTTTTTTACAATCCATAAATGCTTATAGACTAATTTCCTTAAAAGGGTTGGATAATTTTTCTTGCCACTGGCATTCCTGGTACCACACTTCGTTCCATTGAACTAAAAATATCCTAAATTTACAGGTTACAGTCTAGTAGCTTTATTAATCGCTTTCCTACGTGAAATACAATGTTTTACGACTGTACGCCCCATAAGCTGTGGTAGTCTATTACAGTTGTGATAAAAAATAACTTAATATGCCAAATCTAGAGTAGAGAAATATGAATACATTGGGTTTTTTTTTACATTTAATTAAATATTGTATTAATTAGTTTTGTTTGCGTTTAGGGAGAGGAACATTATGAGGAACCACGCCCAAATGAACCGATATTCATAACAGAACACAGAGTAGACGAGGAGGTCGAGGAGGTCCCACGTGGACCAAAGCCGGATTTGGTAAGTCTAAAATACTAGAAATTGACTATGGCCAAATTTTATTCCCCCTTTTTTACAATCCATCAATGCTTATAGACTAATTTCCTTAAAAGGGTTGGATAATTTTTCTTACCACTGGCTTTCCTGGTACCACACTTCGTTCCATTGAACTAAAAATATCCTAAATCTACAGATTACAGTCTAGTAGCTTTATGAATCGCTGCCCTACGTGAAATAAAATGTTGTACGATTGTACGCCCCATAAGCTGTAGTAGTCTATTACAGTGGTGATAAAAAATAACTAAATATGCCAAAACTGGAGTAGAGAAATATAAATACAATGGGTTTTTTTTTTACATATATTTAAATATTGTAGTAATTAGTTTTGTTTGCGTTTAGGGAGAGGAACACAATGTAGAACCGCACCCTTTTGAACCTATATTAACAACAGAACACAGAGTAGACGAGGAAGTCAAAGAGGTCCCACGTGGACCAAAGCCGGATTTGGTAAGTCTAAAATACTAGAAGTTGACTATGGCCAAATTTTATTGCCCCTTTTTTTACAATCCATAAATGCTTATACACTAATTTCCTTAAAAGGGTTGGTTAATTTTTCTTCCCACTGGCTTTCCTGGTACCACACTTCGTTCCATTGAACTAAAAATATCCTAAATCTACAGGTTACAGTCAAGTAGCTTTATTAATCGCTTTCCTACGTGAAATAAAATGTTGTACGATTGTACGCCCCATAAGCTGTAGTAGTCTATTACAGTGGTGATAAAAAATAACTAAAAATGCCAAAACTGGAGAAGAAAAATATTAATACCTTGGGTTTTTTTTACATATATTTAAATATTGTATTAATTAGTTTTGTTTGCGTTTAGGGAGAGGAACATAATGTAGTACCGCGCCCAAATGAACCGATATTCATAACAGAACACAGAGTAGACGAGGAGGTCGAAGAGGTCCCACGTGGACCAAGGCCGGATTTGGTAAGTCTAATATACTAGAAGTTTACTATAGTCAATTTTTTTCCCCTCTTTTTACAATCCATAAATGCTTATTAACTAATTTTCTTAAAAGGGTTGGATAATTTTTCTTTATTTTGTTTTTTAATTGAAGTTTTTGGGGTTTAAAAAATCTGAAAATTAGACCACAGGTAAATTTAAAATATACAATTATATCAATTTTTTCTTTATTTTGTTTTTCAGCGACGTTATATGGAAATGTTGGTTAGAGAAGAGGTAAGTACCAAAAATAAAAATTTGTCGTTTAATGAGATACTATGGGAATACGACCCTAGAATGCATGGACATTTAATCGACTATACTGGAAGATTCATTATGGATAAGACAATAAATTTCTATTAAACTATTTCGAATTTTGTAGTTTTTCAATTGAAAACTTTTGTTTATGTTATTTTACAATATGAGGTCGTATTCAAATATGTATCTTTCTGATTTTCTCTCAGAGCTCTATCAACTTTTAAAATTTAAATGGTAACATCTATGTATATTTTATTGGCTCTTTTAATTAGTTAAGGGCGGTAAAGTTGTAAAATTCTCCTTCCCCTCTCCATATTTATTACATATTTATTGTTATTTCAAAAATTTTTAAGCAAATTATCGCTTATCTAAAAAGTTTATCAAATATTTATACATGGAACCTGAGTTTTAAGAGTTGATTACACCCTGGAAAGTTGTTAATAAAACAATTTTTTTGATAATTTTCAGAGGAGGAATCATGCTTGTATGAGGTGCAAGGAGTTCGGGCACCTCGGGCACCAGTGCCATCTGCCCTGGGTGGAGTCCAAAGAAAGTCCCGAACATTATGCAAGAAGAATGAGGGGGCGCCGTAGGCGTTAGAGATCACTCTAGTGATCTCAGTACATGCACCGTTCTATACCCTGTTCGCTAAGAGAGCATGCCGGCCAGTGTTGGGAAAAATCGTAATCATAACTACCATTACGTTTATAATCATGAAAATTTTAAGGTGTGATTACGATTACACTTATGATTATGGTAACGATTACTATTACACTCGTAATCACAACCTTTTTCTATGATTACGGCCGTATACACAGATTTCCTCTGTGATTACAGTCGTATTTATACTTTTTTCTGTGATTACAAGTGTAATCATAATTAAATTCGGGATTATGAATGTAATCGTAATCGTAATCATATCTCCGGTATCTGTGATTGCAATCGTAATCGTAATCATATCTCCGGGCCTGTGATTATAATTGTAATCGTAATCACACCTTAAAATTTTATGATTATAATCGTAATTATGATTACGATTACGCCCAACACTGATGCCGGGTTTGCGCGTGTAGACTGAAGACTAAGTAGCAAGACTAAGGCAGGCAGACAGAGCGGACTTACGGGGAAACGTTAGTCACATGCCGCAACCCAACGAAAATTGGCCGTTCTGCGCACCCCCCCGTGGCACCAAGTGTGACTAACGTTTCCCCCGAAGTCCGCCCTGTCTGCCAGGCTTAGTCTTCAGTCTACATGCGCAAACCCAGCATGCTCTCTTAGCGAACAGGGTATAAAATGGTGCATGTACTTTTTGGCCTGGCTTTGATACCGGCACATCAAAGCCGACTAGGCCCTTATTTTGGTCGCCGGGGTTCCCACTCTAGCCGCATCTTCTCCGACTTCGATACCTCCTACCACTCTACCTCTAGTCCGCCAAATGCTTTTAATCTCCAGTTCTCCGGTTTTATCGGTCCAACCACCACTCCTTATGTCCTGGGTACTTGACCCTTTAGCTCATCCGTCGTCACTCTCCTCCGGCCGCCTCTTGTTGGCGCATTGAGAGGTGGCGCAGACACTCTTGTGGCGATCTCCTATCAACCTCGCTCCATTCCACAAGTTGCTCATGAACCTTACTCGCATGTCACTGGCCGGGCCAGTGTGAAGAGCCGGCGACATTTCGGCTACCGACTACCGTTTGACAGTGTTGGGCAAATGTAATCTGTTTAATTATTACGATTAATAATAGTAATCAGTAATCATCGTGTTAGATTAATACAATCATATAAATGTAATCATGATTACATTTATGATTACATTAATCTTTCAAATGTGATCATGAAATGATTAATGATTATATTTTTTTAACCGCCATAGGTTTTATGTATTACATAATACATATATAAAAAAAAATATATGGGATGTCTAAGACGATTTGACCTTTGCAATATCATCTAGACAATTATTATTATTTTGTAATAAGCCTGGGGCGGTTAAACAATTTTTTTTTATAATGTTTTCATGATTACAATTGAAAATATAATCATGATTACTGATTACTTTTACAAAATGATAAAATGATTAATGATTAATTTAATCATGATTACAATGTTGTAATCGATTACGTAATCCAATAATAAATTAATCGGTTACGCCCAACACTGCCGTTTGAAGGGCATTACTGCCAATATCATACTACAATATACATGTATTCTTTTTTTTGTCCCTTTAAGCATTTTTGTATTGTCGTACCTATTGCACCACACCTTCAGTTTTGCGCAGGCGAACCCTCCCACTTCTGATGTGATGTGGTGTAAATAGATGAATAAAAGCCATTTAAATACAAACTCCACCCCATTGAATTGTAATAACTTCAAAGTTAACATTATAATTTTTTTTTTATAAAAATTGTTATAATATCTAATGTAAAAAAAAAATATTATGTAAAACCATCTGGTTAAAATCATATTATTCTTGATAATGTGTGTATAATAATATACAATAACCGTAATGTTAATAAATACAGTACTAATTGCTAAACAAAAAAAAATGTTTTTTATTTAACTAAAATACATTGATAATAATATACAAGGTAATGCAATGTTTAAAACCAATTGCGTAATGTAAACATTTTATAAAAAGTACAGTGTTGTTTAGGGCTTAAATTCATGTGAAATAAACACGTTGGGTATCCATCATCAGAGTGTAATTGATCTATGCGAGGACAAACAATATCTTCAAGGTTAATTATGTTAATATGTGATAAACTCATGTAAAATATCTTTTTTCTGTAGTCCATATATGGTTGTAAATGTTAAAGCATTTAAAATTATTGATAGTTCTTCCGCTTCATAATGAGGTGCCATTGAGTGAAGGTGTTTGGTTAGCCATTTGTTAACATTTTGTGTTTTAATGTTTAAAGATTGTGTAACATACATACCTACTTTTTATATATATAATATATATATATATATAATATAAATAAAAATAAAAAAAGTACCAACCAACCAAGTTCATACTTACATTGGGTTCATTCGGTTTTTATCGAGAGCTCAGACAACACATCTGTCCTTTTTTTCTTTTTGTACTTTTCGTTGGTTAAAAATGGAATACGAAGTTGTCGACGGATTTCGTAAAAATAGTAAGCTACATCATAGTAATGATGGCTTTTTTTACCGCGTAAAGAAAGTGAGGCTATCGTCTACCTCACTAAGTTGTATAAAACCCAACTGCACTGCGAGAGGTATGATTTATTGCTATATATTATTTTAGAAAATTAATCTTTTTTCTCAATATGAATTATTTGTAACCCGATTGTAAATGGAAAACTGAAGCAATTAGTAGTTAGACGTAATCGTACTTATTTTACGAATACACAATAAAGCAGTGTACCATTTAAGTATAACTCAACAGAAGATTTTTTTTAATTAGGTAATACTCCACTTAATTAGAAAAATATCTTTTAAAAGGCTTGAAATAAAAACCGTTTTATTTGATTTTTTTTAGAAAATAACACTATTTTTCAAAGAAAAAAGGCCAGCACCATGAGTTGCCCTAGTACACAATTTATAGATTTTAATATGATAATTTACAAAAATTGATCAATGGGTTAACTATCATGAATATTTTGTGGCAATTAGTATTTATATTCATAATAATTTTTTATAATCCGATTTGGTATAAAACATAACAATGATTAAAGGGATTGAAAGCGGACGGTTTTTAAGGGGTTTTATTAAAGGCAATATTTAAGAAAAAAGCAACTTTTCGAACATTTTATTTAGTTACAGGTTACTTTGTAAAAGCTAGAGGCATCATTTTTAACTTTTATAATTTATTCTCCGAGTAAATGCCATTTTGTACATACAAGAAATTAATTAAGGGAATTGCATACGGTCGGTTTTTAAGGAATTTTGTATAGGCAATATTTAGGAAAAACTATTTTAATAAATTTTGACCATGTCAATTAATTTACCGGTTAATTTGTATAAGCTTCATGGTGTTATTTTTAATTTAAATCTTTTTGTCTATGAGTAAAGCCATTTTAGTTAATATAGTATACATTTTTTGTTCCATCGCACTGGCTGAACCAGTGGTCCGATAATTTATCTGAAAATATATTTGAATTTGCCATGAAGTTTACTTCATCGGACAGGGCACTTTTTTGATATCTTATTCCTACTATGTACAAAACCCGTTTGAATATTATAAAAAATTTCAATTTTTAAAAGGGTAAAGGTAAAGGGTTTAAATTAAAAACCGAAAGTGTGCCCTGAACGATCCTAAGTAAACTTCATGACGAATTCAAATCTGTTTTTAGATTGTTTATCGGATCACCGTGTTGGCTTATGCAATTGAATAAAAATGATGTTATGACTGAAAAAACTGACCGCATGTAATTCCCCCTTAAGACCTAAAATCTTGACAAAATTATGCCTACTTAATATGATTGAATTTTAATTCTGTATAAATATTTGGGCTCATGAGCTTTTTCCCTAGGTTACCGTGGAAGTCGGATTAATAAAACAATATAAAGGATACTAAAAACTTAAGAAATTAAAATAGGATTTAAACACAATTTTAATTGAAAATATAAAATTATTTACACAATAACCTTGAAAAGAGGACGATTAACTTGACATTTTTTATATAAAATTCAAATTGGACATTCTACGTAGGCGTAATTTTGTCAGGATCTTAGGTCTAAAACTTCGAAAAAACCAGTCCGCTTTTAATCCTCTTAAGGCTGAAAACAGTTTATAACATTAAACTCTTCTTAACACGATATTGTAATTTTTTTATTATATAAAAGACTTATCAGGAATGATAGATTTGAGGTGATCGGACTTCATAATCATGATCCTGATATGGAATATTTGTCCGCTGTACGTGTAAAAAGCCAAATTCTTCATCGTTGTTCAACAGAATTGACCAGTCTTAAAGTCATTTATGATGAAGAAATAACACAGTAATACCTACCTTTA